CCAGTTTCCTCCAGCTGAGTGCTGGGGGGTCTCTGCCTCTCTGAGGTACCTGTAAGTTGGATAGACCCCAAGGAAATTCTGGGATGGTATGGAAGGAGGCCAGTCCAAACACCAAGCCCTGCTAACGATGTTGCCTTGCAAGGAGACAATGACTGCCCTCCCCACCCAGAGACCACAGGGCCAGAGGCACAGATAAACCAGGTGACTTTACTGAATTTATCAATTCTAGGAGTCTTTTGGTGGAGTCTTTATTATTTTCTATATGTAAGATCATATCATCAGCAAACAGGGGTAGTTTGACCTCCTCTTTTCCTATTTGGATACTGTTTATTTCTTTCTCTTGCCTGATTGCTCTGGATAGGACTTCCAGTACTGTATTGAATTAAGTGATTACAGTGGACATCCTCATCTTGCTCGAGTTCTTAGGCAGAATGCTTTCAACTTTTCCTCATTCGTTATGATGTTGGCTGTAGGTTTGTCATATATAGCTATTAATATTTTGAGGTAACTTCCTTGTATGTCTAGTATGTTGAAAGTTTTTGTCATAAAGGTTGCTGGATTTTATTGAACGCTTTTTCCACATCTATTGAGATGACATGGTTTTGGTTTTAATTTTGTTTATGTAGGTGAATCACATTTATTAATTTGTATATGTTGAATCATCCAAGCATTCCTGGAATGAAACCCACTAGATCATGGTGAATTATCTTTTTGATGTGCTGTTGGATTGGGTTTGCTGATATTTTGTTGAGGATTTTTGCATTTATATTAATGGAGAGATATTGTTCTACAGTTTTTTTGTTGTTGTGTCATTTCCTGACTTTGAGTAATACAAATATAAGAGTAATACTAGCTTCATAGAACGAGTTAGGAAGGATTTCCTCCTTCTCGATGTTATGGAACAGTTTTAGTAGATATGTGCCAGTTCTTTGTAGATCTAGTAGAATTTGACTGTGAATCTCTCTGGTTTGCAGCTTCTTTTTGTTGGGAGACTTTTTATTACTGTTTCAATCTCACTACTCATTCCTTGTCTGTGCAGGATTTCTCTTTCTTAGTGATTCAAACTTGGGAGTTTGTGCATTTCCAAAATTTTGTCCATTTCCTCTAGATTTGCTAGTTTGTGTGCTTATAGGTTTTCATAGTAGTTATGGATGATATTTTGTATTTCTTTGTTATCAGTTGTCTCTTTTTCATTTCTGATTGAGTTTATTTGAATCCTTTGTCTTTTCTTTCTGTTTAACCTAGCTAGTGGTCTGTCAATTTTGTTTATCTTTTCAGAGAACTAATTTTTTGTTTCATTAATGATTTGTATCTTTCTTTTTGTTTTTATAATTTCCATTTCGTTTGCTTCTGCTGGCTTTGGGTTTGGTTTATTTGTCTTTTTCTAGTTTCTTGAGGTCTGTCATTTAGTTGTTAATATGTGATCTTTCTGTGTTTTTGATGTAGGCATTTAAGGCTATGAACTTTCCCCTTAGCAGTGCTTTTGCTGTATCACAGAGATTTTGGTAAATTGTGTTATCTTTGTTCTATTTGAAAAATTTTTTTATTTTTATCTTGATTTTGTCAAGATTAAGGATCGTTCATTAGCAAGTTGTTTAATTTCCAAGTACTTTTGTGGTTTTGAGAGTTCTTCTTGGAGTTGATTTCTAGTTTTATTTCATAGGGGTATGAGAAGATACATGGTATGATTTTGATTTTTCTGAATTTGCTGCGACTAGTTTTATGGCCTAATATATGATCTGTTTTGGAAAATTTCCCATATGCTGATGAGAAGAATGTACATTCTGCAAGTTTTGGCTTGAATGTTCTGTGAATGTCTGTTAGGTCCCTTTGTTCTAGAGTTCTGTCAGTAGAGTGAAGTTTCTAGCTATTGTGATGTTGCTGTTTATTTCTCGAAGTCTATTAAAATTTGTTTTATTTGGGAGCTGCTGTGTTAGGTGCAAATATATTTACATTTGTTTATCTTGTTGAATTGGTCCCTTTATCATTGTATAATGACCATCTTTGTCTTTTTTTACCATTATTGATTTAAAGTATGTTTTTTCTGATATGAAAATAGCAACTCCTGCTCACTTTTTGCCTTTATTTGTGTGGAATATTTTTCCCATACCTTTATCTTCAGTCTACGAGAATCTTTGTGAGTTAATTGGTTTTCTTGGAGACAGCATATATTTGGGTTGTGTTTTTGTAATCTATTCAGCCAATCTATGTCCTTTAAGTCAGGCATTTCCATTCAATGTTAGTATTGATATATGAGATCCTGTTCTGCTCATCATGTAGATTGTTTCCAGGTTTCTCCTTTGTGCTACTGTTTTATAAGAGCTGTGAATTTTAACAATCAGGTGTTTTTACACTGATGGGTATGGATTGTTCTTTTCCACGTACAGAGCACTTTTACGCATTTCTTGTAGGGCAGGTCTAGTGGTGACAAATTCTCTTTGTGTTTGCTTGTCTGGGAAAGACTGTATTTCTCCTTCATTTATGAAACTTAGTTTTGCAGGATATAGAATTCTTGCTTGGAGATTATTCTGTTCAGGAGACCAAAAATGGAACCCCCAGGCCCCTCTGACTTGTAAGGTTTCTGCTGAGAAGTCTGCTGTTGGTCCGATGGATTTTCTTTTGCAAGCTACTTGGTGCTTTCATCTTGCAGCTTGTAGGATTTTCTCCTTTACTTTGATTTTTGTCCAGATTGGTGACTATATGCCTTGGTAATAGTCCTATTTGCCACAAATCTTCCAGGTGTTCAATGACCTCGTGTCTGGATGTCTAAATCTTTAATGATATCAGGGATGTTTTCCTCAGTTACTCCCTCAAATACATTTTCCATGATTTTTGCGTTTTCTTTTCCCTCAGGGATATCTACAATTCTTATATTCGTTTGCTTTTCAGAGTTTCAAAGTTCTTGGAGAGATTGTTCCATTTTTCTTTGTTCTACATTTTTGACTGGGTTATTTCAAAAACCTTGTTGTCAAGCTCTGAAATTCTTCTGCTTGGTCTACTCTGTTAAACTTTCTGCTGTATTTTGAAATTTCCTAAATGACTCTTTCATTTATATAAAAATATAACAGAAGTTCTGTTTTATTTTTTCTTATATTATCTATCTCTTAAGTGAATTTTTTATTTGTGTCCGAATTATTTTTTTGGTTTCTTTGTATTGGTTTTCAACTTTCTCATCAATCCCACTGATCTTACTTGCCATCCATATTCTAAACTTGATATCCAACATTTCAACAATTTCCTTTTGGTTGGAGTCCATTGCTGGAGAACTGTTGTGGTCCTTTGGGAGTATGGAAACAGCTTATTTTTTAATATTGCCAGAGTTCTTATGTTGGTTCCCTCTCATCTTAGCTCAAGACAAATAGGTTTGAAGTACACCTTTTCTCCTCTGCTGTAGACTCTTTTGCTCAGTGAAGAGAGGGAGATGTCCCTGAATGGCTCACTTGATTCCTGCTCTGGAAGATTGACCAGCCAGGAGAGGGGCAGATGCCTTGTGAGCCTTTAACACTGCTCTTCTCCTGCATCTCCACGTTCCTCTGTGGTTGTCACAGGCAGTCGATGCATAGCTTGTTTGCAGCATGTGCATGGCAGGCAGTGGTTGCGTGTGGCAAACACGTTGCAGTTGACTTTGGAGATTGGGGAAAGATACGAGCAGTTGTGAGTTGGGAACAATTAGCATGTACTTGGTAAATTTAGCCATTGAGTTAATGTAAGCAAGCAGAGAGTATGTAAAGAATGAGAAGAAAAATGGCTGAAACCCATATCCTGCGAAATGTTAGTGATTAAAGGACAGTAGAGGAAGCAGAGCCTTCATAGGAGACTGATAAGCTGTTGACTAGGAGGGAAGTGGAATGTGGTAGCACGGAAGCCAGTGAACGTGAGTATTTTAAGTTGGAGGAAATGGACACCTGTATAAAATGCTGTTGAGCTGCTGAGAGACTCAATAAAATAAAGACTGAAAAATGACCTCTACATTGAGTAATAAGCAAGTCATTTTGGTAGGGGGATGGGAATCGAAGCCAGATTAAAGTGGGCTGAGGCATGATCGGGAGATATGAAGAGGACTCAGCGAATGTGTACAAAGTTTTAAGGAAATTTGACTGTAAAGGGGAGGGGATAAGTGGGTGTGGCCAAGAGGGATTTAATTTCAGATGGGGTGGGGGAAATTGAAAATATTAAAGCTATAATCAGCAGAGCAGTCTCCACATGAGGGCTTAAGTCTATGAGATCCTGATCCTACCTTTGTAATAGGAGGGAAGGAGAAATGCATGTATATGTATTTGTCGAGCAGGAGATTCATGTTTCCTTCTGTTTTGTTTTCTCTGTGAAATTAGAGATCACACTATGTACGGAGAGTACTGTGGGATGTGATGTATTCAAAGTTAGTAGAATGGAGAAGGTTCGAAATAGACACTGTGGAAAATGGGGAAGAGAGAGCTGACCATGAAAATATAAAAAGATTTCTGGACTGCATTGAGAACCCAGTGGAGAAGTGACACCATGAATTCGTAATGATGCCACTATTCGCCATGTATAATTTTTCTCCAGTGGTGTTTAACTGTTTGGCATTGGGGTAGGGAAGGTGGTCTGTGCATTAATCCAGGCCTGTGGGTCTTTCAGTCCAAGGTGATGGAAAGACAACACGGTGAGGGAGAGGAGGATAGAGGTAAAAGAGTGGGCCATGGAGTTGAAGTGGAGCATGGAATTTAAGTGGATAGGTAATGAATTCTGTATAGTACCAATCCATTTTGCACCACAAATTCTCTTGAGTCATCGATATAGAATATTGCTATAGTGTCACATCATTTTATAACAAGGTAGAATTTTTGTGTAAGTTTACTTGCTGTACTAGTCTAGCTACTACTGTAATCCTGATTCTCCTTAGGTACTCCTGTATTGCTGAAAACCATTTGATTAAACCGCAGTGTCAATTAAAAAAATATAATTTTCATAATTTGTGAATGTACTCTGTAAAAACATTTAAATCTGACATTTTGATACAGTGTGAAACTGCAGCGCAACAGAAATTTGCTGAAGAACTTCAAAAGCGAGAACGTTTTTTACTTGAAAGAGAACAGTTGCTTTTCAGACATGAAAATGCCTTGAGTAAAATTAAAGGTGTTGAAGAAGAGGTTCTTACAAGATTTCAAATTATAAAGGAGGTAACTATATAGCCTTTGATTTTAGAGTATTATTATTTCTCCTTTTTTCCTTAGATTCACTAGTTATTAAACATTTTGCCACATTTTCTTTGTTGTCTTTTCCTTCCTCCTCTCCATACCCACACACACATTTTTTTCCTGAACCATTTGAAAGTATGATAACTTGCAAAAATCATGACTCAGCATTCCTAAATACTTCAGTGTGTATCTCCTAAGAATGAGGACATTCTCCATACCATTATCATTTCTGGAAATTAATGCTAATTAAATAATTAATATGTAATA